GGCATTGCGCACACTCTTCACTATATCCATGTACACTGCTTTTTTCTCATAAATTAGAAAAATTTCACGAAAATACATGACAATTTTCTCAATCTTTAAACCCGGTAAAAAGAACATATATGAAATTACCTGATCGCGAAAAAGTATTTACCCTTTCCAAATATGAACATTTCCACATATAAAATAAATAAAATATCCAAAACTTTTACCTCTCAATCATCTATTATATTATAAACGTCACCAACGAATTCATACCGCAACCATTACAAATACTTAGTGTCAGATATTTAAATTATTCCATGCACGTTACTTCAACTGAAACTTATACCAAATTCCTACAAACATAAAATTCACAAAATAACTATCATTTAATTAAAATATAATTAAATCAAAAACACTACTTAAAATATAAATGAGCACATACATTAATTAATAAAAATTACCTTACAATCCTAATTACTTTAAACTAAATCATTTGCTAATAACAATTTTCCCAATAATACCAAATTCCTTTACTTCCACCTTACATTTAGAACAATGCATAAAAATAGTATCCTCAAATAATTAAAAATACTAACTTACCTAATCTTCTTCAGAATCTTGGATTACGTGTCCGATAAACTTTTCTTTAGTTATGGCCATGGGATTCAAAAATTCACACAACACAGAATAAACCAAATACAAAATTTCCAGATTTTTTCCCGATTTCTCCCCTTTTTCCGATTAAAGAACCGTAATTCGTCCATAAATGTCACATGACATATCCCATGATCTCTCATTTCCCTCAGACAAAATAATGCGTAGTTCGGAACTGGAGTACTTGCTCACATTATTACCAAAGTCCCAGGTAGTAACCTTTATCGCCTCCAAAATGTCGCCAAACTACCAGTTACCATATTGTAAAGATCAACTGAGAAAAAAGTGCAATTAATAAGCAGACGATATTTAGAAAAGTACAGATATTTAGACTGGAAAATGAAATTATCTGAAGTTAACCACACGTGCAGATGATATTTACAAAAGTAAAGATATTCAAACCTGAAAAGGAAAATATATAAGTTATTCCATCAATAAATGCCATAAGTTTATTTATATCTTCATTATTTTATGAGTTATTAAACATCAAAATGCGTCCAGGACATTATAAACACCCTGTACATTAACTGGTATTTGCAAATATAAAATACAGTCAAAAGTCTTTAATCCAGACCTCAAAGCTACAAACTTTCTGCGCATGCGCAGAAAGTTAATACGTTTACACATGCGAAAAATAATATGTTTACACATGCGCATTTAATGTATAATGGATGATATAAGCTAAGCTAAAATTATCTAATTATCTATTTCAGTTAATGTTGCAGATTGCATCGTTCCTTAATCTTCTAATAGGATCTGGCTTATTATTTTTTGCAGACTGTTAGAGCAATTTTATAAAAGTAAGCTTGAACTTTCGATTACTGTAAAGGCCGTAATTTTCGCAAACCCGTCGTAATCACGAAAATTTAAGCATTGCGAAATACTTTTTTTTTCCACCTCAAATAATAATAAAAAATCAGAAATTTTTGACTTATCCAAAATTTAATATTTTATTGCACAGTTACAAGCTTTTTCTTGACAACTTTCTTTCTTATAACTATTTTTTGAATAATATACAACTATATTTCTCGAATATAAAACAATAAAATTAATAGAAGGCAGCTCATTCAATTAAAATACTATTTATACCAGCTTCTTTGAAGCCATTCAAAATTATCTCGTGTTTGGCTTCAATACCGTCAAATACGCGCACAAACCAAGAACCGTGAATCGGTTTTAGTCGTGATATTTGCAAATCCACAGATTTTTCCTCTAGAAATTGAAACTCATTAGAATACCACTCAATAAACTCATTTTTGAGCAAACACTTGAACTCACCATTTAGATGGGGACGGGGGGGGGACGAACCTTTTGGACAAAAGGAAGTTCCTTAAAATGCTTTATGCAAAAGATGTACTTTTGGAATTTTTCAACTTTCACAACTTTACTTAGGTACTTTTGAAATTTTTCAACTTTTGGTTCTGTTCATATAAAATTTGCGAAATTTTCAACTCGCAAAATCACCGATATATTCATTTTCGAAAAAAAAAAAAAAAAGGCCTTTACAGTATGTCAAAAAGAATTTCCGATTCTGGAGCTGCCAAAGGATCTACAAAGCGAAAGCATGTTTCGATGTCCATCTAACAAAAATTTGAATTCCTGCAAAAAATGGATAAAAGCATATCCTTTGTTTCTCTAACCATTCCGAAATCCGTTTATCAATTTTACGCTGCTCTGCCCGGGGAGAGGATGTCGCGGGGCACAATAATGAACTGGAAGTTGATCTGTCAGCACAGGGCAGATGTTTTTATTTAATTTGGCTTATAATTCCTTACTAATTGTAGCATTTCATCTGGATGTTCTCCGTCTTTGATATGATTTAAATCAAATTCCTCGTCATTATAAATATAACAAATACACATCAAATAGTTTTCTGGTTGCAATTTTCTAATTTCGAGTATGCTTAATGTATGCTTTACGCATGCACGCATTGATAGATATGTTTAATAGAGTAAACAAATAAATATTAAGCTTTTTTTTTTTTTTTTTTTTTGATTATTTTGTCTGAGAGATCATGAGATATGTCATGTGACATTTATGGACGAATGACAGCTCTTTAATCAGAAAAGGGGGGAAATTTGGAAAAATATCTGCAGTACTTTATAGCATTTTGTATTTAGCTTCATTCTGTGTTGTGTGAAACAGTAATGCTTAATTTTTGGATCCCATGGCCCTATCTAAAGTGAATTCGAAATTTTTATTGCGTTTATCTGATAATCCAAAAGAATTGTTTGAATGGTGTATGAGTGTAGGATTAATTGCGGATAAGTATGAATGTCCAACATGTGGGAATGAAATGAGATTGTGTGAAAGGAAGGATATTACAGATAAGTTTTGAATGGCGGTGCAAGAAATCTGGTGAAAATGGACATTTTGTGATTCGCCATGCACTCAAGATTCTGTAGAAGATTAGGTAAGTTAGTATTTTTAATCATTGAGGATATTATTTTTATGCATTGTTCTAAATATAAGGAATAAATAAATTAATATGCTATTATTGGAAAATTTTTATTAGCAATGAATTAGTTTAAAGTAATTAAGATTTTAAGCTAATTTATTAATTTATGTATTGTTTATTTATATTTTAAGTAGTGTTTTAATTTAATTATATTTAATTAAATGATAGTATTTGTGAATTAAATGTTTGTAGCATTTTAGAATATGTTTCAGTAGAAGTAAACGTGCATGGAAATAATTTAAATATTTGACACTAAGTATTTGCAACCATTTTTAATGTTTGCGTTATAAATTCGCAGGCGACGTTTATAATAGATAATTTAGAGGTTTTGGATATTTTATTTTTTTTATATGTGCAATGTTCATCCTTGGAAAGGCTATATACTTTTTCTCGATCAGGTAATTTCATATATGTCCTTTTTACCAACTTTAAAGATTCACAAAATTTTCCTGCATTTTTGTGCAAATTTTTCTAATTTATGAGAAAAAAGCAGTGTGCATGAATAAAGTCAAGAGTGTGCGCAATGCCATTTTTGTGTAATTCTGGGATGTTTTTTTAAGTAAAAATAGGTCAACGTGTACATTGGTTACCGTGTATGTGCCATTCTGAAAAACGCGGCAAGGAGTTTGCGATTCTGTACTTTCTCCCAATTTTGCAGTTAATATTCATCATGATTAAGCACTTTTGTTCCATAAAATTTCTAGCATAAGCGTAATTCGGCTAGCAGATTGTTGGAAAAAATGTTGAGTAAATAAAAAAAAAGAAACCTGTCTTTACTTCATGAAGACAAAATGGCGCCGAAAAAAAAAGTAGAAGGTTGCTGTAGCAGGGTTGGTTGCCAAATTTTCGCCAAAAATTGCCAAGTTACCATAATCCAAAGATTAACCTGTAAATTTTGATACCCTTTAGATCATAATTGCTCTTTATTTCATAAATTGTGGTTTCATATTTTTAATTTTATAATTTCTGCATGCCATCTTACCAGATTTAAACTGATGATCGATAATCCAGAAAAACTGATATCGCCAAAGTTCCGACGAGTCCGGAATTAAGACTTTTGACTGTAATCATAAATCTGCGTTATGAAATCTAGTCACTAACTTCTGGAAAATAGATTTATTCATTTGCGTACATCTGAAACATAGAATTCCTCTTCACAATCTGTATTGCTTAAAAATCTTGCATGTAAGTCCATTACAAAAATGAGTAATGATATTCCTCATTAAACATTAAAAAAGTTCAATATTTTTTTATTATCCACACGCATGTCAAAAAGTATTCATGAAGCAATGCAGTAATGTCGCCTAAATAGGAATGTTACAGCCTATGATGTCACCAAAAACAGTTTATGTGGCCATTCAGGTATGCACACAGTTCATCTGCTTTGACCCCTGTACAATGAGGAAGTTGTATGGAGTTGAGTTTGTACAATTCTGATGTTTTGAGTAAAAATATATCTGTGCACACTGAGAGAATAGCAGCACAAAAAAGGATTTCTTGAAACAGGTGTTTTATTACTAATGTTTCTTGCTATATTGGTTGATTGCTCTTGTTTGAAATTCTTAGCGCACTGCCATTTTCAAGATGGCTGTTGCCTTTTGTGTATTAGTTTGGCAAAAAATTAGTCACCAATATTTTCGTGAATGCCTTCCAGAGTTGTCAACAAATTCGCAACTTTTCGGTGGGAGTGCAGATAATCAAAAAATACCAAATACTGTTATATTAAAAATTGATATTAAGGATGTTATAATTATAGTAATTTGTAAATATGAAACTTAGTTAAATGTTTTATGTTACTGAATTTTTTAATCCATTAGTTAATAAAAATGCATTTTGACCAATTGAAAGATGGTTTTGTATGAATCTTTACATATATATTTTTTCATAAATCCTCTGTTGTTTTCAGGAACAAAAAGATTGAAATATTAGTAAATGAAAAATGTGAGTTAGAAAATGCAATGGCATGGTTATCAACACTTGGTGGTGCTTTTTCTGCACTTGGTGATAGCTACTTACATTGTGTGAGTAGTTTCTTTTCATTTCTTTCTTTCATTTCATTTATTTATTATTTTCTTATTATAAATGAGAACATTTGTCATTGTGGATGCAAGTACAGTTAGAAAAATTACCACAATGAATTTAAAAATTGCCAAAAAATCAGTTTCTTATAAATGAAACTTTTCATGTACGGATAAAATAATAACATTTATCAGATATAGATGAAATTAAAATAAAAAAAGTCTATCATAAATATTATTCATATAAATTTTTATTATTTTATTATATTGATTTATTCTGTATGAAATCACACTTTTGTTATAGTAGACTGATTATTGTGCTTAAAAATAGTGGTATACATAATGCCACATTTGAGAAGTTCTTATATATTATTACAATACAAAGTTCAAGATCCAGACTCATTGGAACTTAGGTTATTCCAAATTTTAGATCATCAGTTAGGAACTAGGAAAATAACAAGTAGAAGTTATAAAATAAAAAAATATTAAATAGTTGTGTATAAATTAATAATGAAGCATTTATAGCCTCATTACTATTTTTTCTTTAATTTTATAGATAGACATAATTTCTTTTACAGATACAATGGTTAAGTTATGAAAATACTGTGTCAAAAATTCCCTCTAAACCGTAAATCAAGATCTTTTCATTCTCGATCACCTCTTTTTCACTGTTGATAGCAATATTTTCTGGATTTAAAACTGTACACCATATTTTGCTGTCTATTAATTGACTGTTGATTTGGCATTGTTGTCATAATGGAAAATTTCTGTTATATCATCATCATCATCATTTATAATCACTTCCACACAGTGGCTTGCAATTCACTGCATCAAATCTAGGAGGACCTGTTGTAGAAAAACAAGGTAATTTGCACCATTGAGGCATTCAGGCAGAAATTATGGTCCCATTAGATGGTCCTTGAGAATCCCTGCCCAGATGTTTATACCGAACCGTTGCACTTTTGATGAGACAGTGCTGTGAGGATTTTCAAATAAGCACATATTTCCATTGTGCATGTTGACCACACCTTTGGTAAAGCAGGTTTCATCTAAGAATAAAAAAGTGGCAGGAAACCGAATCATTCCGTATGGCATCAAGCATCCAGAGTATGAACTCTACCCAAAGGGAGTATTCGGTATTGCCTAGGAGATGAATCTTCTGTGTGTGGAAGGGGTGCATGCAGAACCTTTCACATCATTTTATGAAGAATATCCACTGCAGCTGCAACCGATTGTGTACTGGTTCATGGGGAAACGGAAAATCGTTGCAGTACTTGGTTTTCTGTTTCATGTGTGTTCACGCTGTATTCTTGCATTTCAGGTGTGTGTGCATGCCTTGTTATTTGGAAGGATCCCGTTTCCACAGCTGTTGATCAATGTTCATGAAGGTGGTATGATGAGTACACCACCTCCTCGGATAATGCTTTTGGTACAATCTCTGCACTAGGCATCCATTGCTACTTGCTCGGCTGTAAATCCGATGCATAGCAGAACATTCTTTGCTTGTGTAATCTGACATGTTGTTTCCTAATGAAGTTTAATGCCCACCATTGAATATTTTCTTGTATTTTCTGCAATGCCCACTAATGAATACTTTCTTGTTGCTTTTATTTTCCTCATACACATAGGAAATTTGTATACGAAAAGGTTTCTTCTTCTCAACCACTACTTTTAGTTTGCCCATACTCATTGGAAATTGCCCACCAGCAGCCAAGCAGTAAAGTCAGCGAATGCTGGTAGTTCCAACCTGGGTTCAATTCCAGGCAAATGGGCTGGCTGCTTGGGCGTTTTCATGGTTTTTCCTATGTGTAACATGTGTATGAGCCAGTTGCCCTTAGAAAGTCCTCTACGAAGGTATCCCTTCCCTTAGGCAGATAGCCCTAGTGCTCTTTCCCATAGTAAACTAAACCAAACCTGTGAGTCTCACTGGAAATTTGCATATGAGAAGGTTTCGTCTTCTCAATCGTAGTGCTTCTAATTCTCATATTTGTTGGGCTGCTCTGTTTGTCAATCTCAATCAATATCTATTTTTGCAATTTTCACCAAATAAACGAGGTTTACAATCCCAAATTTCCGTTCTCTTGATGCCTACTTTCATCCCTCTGAATTTGGCGGTCGAATTTGGAAACACCCTGTAAAAAGAAGGCAAGTACCAAATATGCTTTCACTTTGCAGATCCTGTTACAGCTTAAGAATTAGTTGTTCAGCAAAGGAAAACCTATATAAGCCAAAAGACAATGCCAACACAGAACAGCGCTGTACTTCAACTTATGAGCAACAGCCTACTTCAAGTAAACATATTTTTGGCACTTCCCTTATTGGGTTAAGATCAGATAGAAAAATGTTCCTCCCTCTTCCACACTCTCAAGTGCCAGAAATGCGGTCATGGCTAATGTCGATCCTGTTGTAATTCCTGAGGATGGTAAAATTCAAAGCTACTACACAAATGGCACTCTGTATCGGCCCTTCATGTATTGAAAGTAAATCAGTAATTACTTTAATACTGCACATACAAAGTTGGACACACCACCTTATTGCCTCATGTAGTTTACTTAATTTTGTGTTGCTGCTTACAGAACAGACTGTTGACTATTGACTATGATAGGTTAATCAGGCATACAGCCATTGTGGTTTTAACTTGTAGATGGGAATGCTCTTGACTGTTGGCAGTTAAATATGAAACAAATGCAGAATATTGCAGATAAAGGGTGAGAAATCTAACAGTAATTCCAAACCTCTATACCCACTTCCCTCTCTGGCCAATTTTACTCCTGTGCTCAACCAGATTACCCTTTTACAATGCTGTGACTTTTTCAGGAGTATCTCTCTCTCTCTCTCTCTCTTTTTTTTTTTTTTTTTTTTTTTTTTTTTTTTTTTTTTTTTTCCCTCAGAACTCTTAAGACCTCAGGAATTTTCAATCCATCAGGCCTCTTCTTGGAATCGTCTGAGACACACAAAAAAAATCTCAATATTTACTTGTTTACCAAAATGCTAGTTTTAATGCAAGTATCTGTAAATCAGTGTATTGTCATTAAAGTGACATACAGGAATCTCAGCTAGATGGGTGAAAAATCTCAATATTTACTTGTTTACCAAAAAGCCAGTTGTAATGCATTTATCTGTCAATCAATTTATTGTCATTAAAATGGAATAAGAATTTCACTTTTACCACTCACCTGCTTTTTTTTTTTTTTTTTTTTTTTTCCCAATTATATTATCATTTCTTAGTCTTTGTAAAGAAAAAAAAAAAAAGAAAAAAGAAAAAAAATTCTGATGGTCTGGAAGTATGGATATTAGGTGATTCTGGATATTGGGTCTCCAGATCCTTGGAATGTACTGTACCAATTTTTATAAGTTATCCTCTAAGCAGTTTTACTTTTCTTTTTATGTAATCGTGAGATTTGTTGCTTTTTTGCGCATAATACTTACTATAAGGTATTTAGCTGTATTACATCCTTTAAAGACAAAAGTGCACAAATCTAGCTAAGAAATGCTGTAGAAAATGTAGATATTTCTTCATCAGCAGATTCAAGAAACCTTGCTGCTCAGAGGACTAATGTAATGTATTGAACTCAGCTAGTTTTCCAACAGATCTATGCATGTTGCCTCATCTTTAACACACAGTGTACACTACGCAGCGGAACCATTCCAGGAAGTTTAAAGTTTTAAACAATTTTGATTCATAATAATGCATAGATATCAGCTAGGATGGGACAGGTAGACGATACTTTTAGTTTGAAGTATGTTTGAAGGTAATAAAGATCATTTAAATAAAGTTCTTTCAACAATGAATTCTGTTGATCCCGCTATTCAGTTCACTTTTGAACTTGAGAGTTGCAATTCTCTTCCGTTTCTCGACATTCTGGTCACACGTAACACATCCAACTTCAGTACTATGGTTTACCGTAAACCTTCATCGGTTTGCCTTCCACTACACTTTAAATCATGTCATCTGACTAAACAAAAGTTAACTTCATTTTATTCCTATGTTCTCCGTGCTCTTCAAGTTTTCTCCTCCAAACTAGCCCTTGAGGAAGAACAAATTATTTAAAAGCAATAGCTATTGACAGGGGCTTTTCACCCAACATTATTAATCAAGGAGTAAAAAAAATTCTCATCTCAACACACTAAAAGGCACACTCTTATTTTAGGAGATTATAAAAATTCTGTTGTCACTCCCTTCTTTCCATCAATTAGCTGTAAAGTTGCACATATTTTGCAGAAATTTAACTTTTGGGTTATTTATTCTCCCATCAATAAAATTCCGAGTTCCATACTCAAGGACCCCATTCCGGATATGAATTCCTGGGGTATTTATAGGATTCCTTGCTAGTGTGGTTTAATTTACATTGGCCAAACTAAGAGAGCCTTAAAATTTCGTGTCAAGGAACATGAGGCATATGTTAGAAAAAAGGAAACACAGAAGTCTTCTGTTGCTCAACATTGTTGGTCCGAAAATCACACTTTCAATTTTTCTGCTGCCAAAATTATTCAAAAAACGTTTTCCGTTGGAGAACTGGATTTTCTAGAGGCATTTCACATTTATAAAAATCTTTCTGTTCTAGTTAACAATCCTAATTCCAATCCAAAATTGCCTTCGGCCTTTAAAGAAATTATGTTTTAGTTCTGGTTTTACCAACAGATGGCGCCACTTACTTATTCTTGTCCAGGCTTTCTTATCTAATCATTATTTCCTATCTTGTTCAGTTGCGGTTTTGCAGCTGAGGATGGTGGTTCGGTAAAACCATCGAAACTAGTCCTATGAAAATTTTGTAAATATAACGCTGATTTGTGTTGTTTGACTTCCGAATTAGTATTTATTCGGCGTGTTATTGTGTCTTAAACACGGTTTATATGCTTCCATGTTCTTTGTGACATTCTTACCAACATTGCAAATGCAAATGAATCTACATCTACCAGTAAATAAATACATGTCCCATTTAATGACTAATTGTATATTAAAATATGGCAGTCTGCCATGTGACTATATCCTACAGCAAATTATTCATTTTCATGAGATCAGGGCTGAAAATCATCAAACCATAAAATCATCATTGAGATGAGATCAGGGCTACTGGAAATTGTGTTAATGGTATTATAGTGATCCAGAGAGCCAATCAAATGGTCACACCATAAAGCAATTTGAATATCAGAATCTACCGTATGAGAGCATTTTTGCAATAGGAGTATGGTATTGACTGCAGTGTGATAGATCTACAATCAAATCCTATGGTCATTTATTAACTTCAAGGACATATCAAATTCGTGTACCGCTGCAGTTCTCCTTAATGCTCTTAGATGCTGATACGATCAAGTAACTAATTACCAAGCAGCACCAAGCAAGCTGATAACACCATATAATTGCTACAGTATATTAAATGTTTAGGAGACCGTCTTCTGTAGAAGTTTGTGCTCACAGGTGCACACTTAATGCTATGCATGAAAGTGTGTTAGAAAAAAAGTGCAAGTTTGATCATGGAGAAAGATTCTTCATAACACAGAAATCAGAGATTTACTTAACTGGGAAGTAGTAAATGCAACAACTGAAGTTGGACTCCAAAAAAATTGAAAATGTAAAATTCTTCGAAAAAATCGATTGAGGAAACATCAAGTAATAGTTCAATGGCGATTAGACTAAGCCATGCTTTCAATGGTTGAGTGATGTGGATTTTTAATTTGCACTTTTTCCCCCATATAAATCTCTCAAAAATGGGGAGCATTTTAGAATTGGAGTTTTGGTTTATTAGTTATTTACTGTAATTTGCCTTTGACACTCCATAATTAATTACTTTATAATTTAAAAATTTATTGCATCACTAAAGCAAAGATTGAGAAGCCATAAAATAGGACAGCGAATATAAAGATAGCTCAGAAGAGAATGTAACATTGGCTAAATGCAGATTGTGAATCTTAAATAAATCAAATTCTAATATTAATTCAAAAGAAAGTATTGGACAGAGTTGGTAAGTTTCAATATTCGGAGAGTGAGTCAGTGTTAAAAATACCAAATGTGGCTCCTATTTATCTTTTTCACATATCTAATCTGATCATGTTTCCAGTTTACTTGGGAAATAAAAGTTTAACGTACTAAAATAATGGAAAGGATAAAATACGGACTCATCGAGTTTTAAGCAGAATATTGAATTCAAATAACAGATAGCATTTCCTCAGCTAATCAAATTCTATTATAAAAATATTAGATCTGCTGTAGTATTTTATTTATTTGACTTTCTTAGTTTATAAATCTGTTGCCTCTCTAGGTAAATGGTACATAAGTTAAAGAGTGCATTTTACTATCAGTGACAGAATTGAATAAATATAGTGTAAAATATATACATATAAGAATAATAAGAAGGGGAATTTTTTTAATGTATTTTTTTCCTAGGCAGAAAAGGCTGGAGCCATCTCAATGCAACAGTTGTACATTGCTCTACGATTAGGTGATCCTCTCACAATTTGTAGGTGTAAAATTTATCTTTCCATGAGTCTTCTTCAAAGAGGCTACTATAGAAAAACAAAAAAGATGCTAAGGTATGTTTCTTCAATAATTTGAGCTAAAAATTAGCTGTGTTTTCCATAATAGTCAATAGTTTTGTTTGATTAAAATATTTTTGGTAGCATTTGAAAAGATTATTCAACAGTTTAAACTAAGATTAATAAGATTGTGAACAATATTTAAGGTTACTACACTAAGTACAATAGAATAAAAGGAACCTAATTTCTATTTTTCATTTTGTGACAAGTGATGTACTTTTGTAATTCAGAATACAAGAAATCACCCCCCCTTTAATGTGAATAATCTCTTTCTATCTGCACCTGCAACTTTAATAAAAATGAATGAAACATAAAGAAATTAGATCTTTAATTTTTTTTTCTTTGTTCTAATTGCTGGAGAAATTCTTGCAAATATTATATTTTATAGTCTTTATTTTTAATATTTGGTAATGTTGTAATACATGAACTATCACTTTTCACTTTGTTAGTTATTTATTTTTCAATAAGGTACTAATATTCAAATTTTTTAGATGAGGCAGATGTTACCAATATTCAAGCTGTTGTACCATATTTTGTAGCTAAAGATTCTATACAACATGCAGAGTATTGCACCGCAAATGCTTCCACATTATCTTGCAGAAACATGGGAGAGACCTGTTAATAAAAGTGATGACTTTTTTGGCCATGCTATACAACATGTGGAACATTTATGATTCATAAATGTATCTGGTTGTAATGAAAGTTTTTTTTTCTCAAAATGTTGTTAATGAGTTAGAAAAAGAGCATGAAAGCACTACATTTAGTAGACCACCCAAGTAATTATTAACTTCAAGGGGTTAATCACCACCCAAATCTATAATTTTTTGCCAATGTTCGTTAATTTTTCTTCTTTCTTAATAAGTCTTCAGCCCAGAAACTTGGTGGCCATGATTCCAAAAACAGATCGTTATTTCAGACCCCATTCGAGTCCAGCCGGTGAATGCAGACACATGTGGTGCTGCATTATTTTGATGGAATATTGCCTTTTTGTGCCAGAACTCAGTTCGATGTTTTTCCTTGATAGTAGTGTCGTCACGAGCTAGCATCCTGCTGTGCACCTTACTGTTGACACCTTACTGTAAAATTTCCAGATACTCTTTGTGGACTCCACTGCAATCCCACCAGACACAATGCATGATCTTTTTGTTTGTCAAATTGCACTTTGTAACACTCTGGTGTTGAAATAAATCCACTTTTCATTACAAGTAACATTCCGGTCCAGAATTTTATTCTTGCATTGCTATTTGACCATATTAGTACAGGCCCAAGCATGTCTGTCTTTTCAGCTCAGCACCCAGCGGTTGAACTTGTACGTCAAGTTTAGGTGATGCATAGTGCAACTAATGGACATGGCACTAACGTCTAACTCCTTAGCAAGCTTTCGAGTGGTTGCATACTGATCTTCTTCCACAAGTTCTCACAGGCGGGCCTCATTAACACCAGTAGGCCGGCTTGAGCATTCTGCTTCTTAAATGTCATAGTTCTTGTTTTTGAACTTTCGGTACTAAACCTTCACAGTGTCATATGATACAACATTAGTACCTAAGGTTATACATACGGTTTGCTGACATTCTACGTATGACTTTCCAAAAAGAGTGCCCACAATATTTTCAGCTCTAGGAACAGGGTAGCTGTCTTTCTTCATAAGCTCATTCAACTAACGATAGTCAATGTAAAATCTCTTTGAAACATCTTTCCTTCTGACAAGGACAATGGAAGAGGCCCAAGAACTTTTCCCTGTGGTCCGTATAACATACAGCAAGTTTGAATGAAGTGGGTCTATCAGAACAAGCTCCATATATAAATAGGATAACTTTAATTATAACCACACATACTCTGTATTAAAAAATTGCATCAATACTTGAAGCAGAGCCATCAAATTAATTTAAATCAAATTTTTATGCAATTAGAATATGTAATTATATTTCTGGAAACTTTTTTATATTTGTGAAATTAAAAATAATAAAACATAAATCTATAAACATAAACCCCCCTTTTTTTTTTTTTTTTTTTTTTCAAAACTTTTGTTGAGATTCTTAGTCTATTTATATGCAGTTTTTTGCAGACTTTTGTTGAAAGGCTATTTATATGCAGTTATTTGTATTATGATTATTGTATGCTGTATATTATAGTTAAAAATGCAAAGGGGTGAATTCAAGAAAAAGTTGGGAATCCGTACCAGAGCTGTGGAGTCGGTAAAGAAAATGACTGACTCCAACTCCTTATATATGTAAACATATACACATGGTTACAGCTTTTTTTTTTTATTTTTATTTAAAAGAAGTAATAGATGCTACAGAAAAAAAAAAAATTGATGGCATAGCAAATTATTTATATTAATTAGCATTTATTATGAAATGGAAAAAGTGGCATAAGTTATTTCTAAGAATCAGTATAGCTTCAACAAGATCTTCTTTGTTGGAGAGCCACAGATCCAATTTGATAAACTTCAGAGCTGAGAAGAGTCTTTCCACACTAACTTGAGTAGGAGGAAGAGCTGTTACTGTTAGGGCTACTTCTTTTAACTTTTCAAGATAAAGTTCTAAAAGAGAGATTTTTTATAAGCTCTAAAAGAGGTATCTTGCAAGCGCAATCATATTTCTCTAGTTCTTCAAAGGCCATGTAGAAATCTTGTTTGTATTTTTTCATTTTTATATCTAAAGGCTCTTGGTTCTTTATTTTCAATCGCTTTGCCTTAGTTTTTTCAATATTATCCAAAAATATTTCTCAAAATCTAATTCATCACTGGAAGAGTATGATAGAGACTCAATTGCAATGTTTGCAGTTTGACTGTCCTGATTCGAATTCTCCAATTGTTCTGAGAATAATTTCATTCTTAATGAAAGTTCATAGATTGCTTTCTTTGCCTTTTTAATTTGTTTGTCATCCAACAAAATTCGGCGATTTGGATCTACATATATTGAACCCAGCAAGATCTCATTGTCTAGTAAATTATTTTCTCTTTTTCTTCATTGAAGAAATGATTCCTTCTGCAATAAACCCTTCTAACAAACATTACATTCTTCCATTCAAGGAAAATGGAAGCCTTGAATTGAAGGCTTCCTGTCAATTCTTCAGATTGCAGGTTTTTTGTGGCTATATACAGTGTAGAAAAAAGAGTTTCCAATTCTGCAAGATCATTCCACAGTCTTCCTGTTAGTGAAACATTACAGTTATCTACATCTTCTAAAAAAGTTCCTAATTCTAACAACCTCTTTATCATCAAATATGTACTTCCTCGTCACATTGCTTGATCAGTAATTGCTCCTTTCCCTGCTCTCTTCATAAGAATGGCATCAATTTGGAAAGTTTGTGCTGCTTACCTAAATTTTCCAGTGAGATTTATAACTAAATGAATCAGTTTAATCACTAATGGCAAATATTACATCCATTCTCCTCCCTTATATTTTATTTATTAATATGTCAATAAAAAAAATTAACTATTTATTAATGTAGATAGTCCATAAATAAAAATAATAACTCAGCTTGTCATTAATTTTTTTTTAATTTAAATTTCATGTCAAATTCAAACTGTCCAACAAAAACTGGAGTCGGAGTCGACGTGTTTTTAGCGACTCCAGCTCTGACTGCTTTAACCCAAAATCTGCCCAACTCCGACAGCCCTGATCCCCACTGTACAACATTCTTAACTTTTTTATTTGTATATAATTTCATAATTATTCAAAATGTTAAATTAATATTTATAGCCATATTTAATTATCAAAATTATCTCTTTTTCAGAGAATTATATAAATTTTCAACTGAAAGAGAAGGTTCCAAAGACTTCAGGCTGAAAAACATGTGCATTGCTGTATGGAACAGGTTAAAATATGTTCTTTCACAAAGAGCAAAAACAAAAAATTCTGAATGCTTACCAGCACCAAAATCTTAATTATAAAATAATTATACATTTTTATTTTTCATTTTGAATTCAAAATTTATTTTCATAAACAAAACACCTCTTCTTATCATAACAATATTTTAAGTTCTTTATTAAAAGTAAAAATATTCATTAGGTCAGACATTTTCTCCCCAAAAAATTTTACTTTATAAAATTTTAAAGCATTTTAGTGATTGTTTGATTTTTTTATATATATGTACCTTTTATTAATTTTTTAAAATGTATTTATAGATTATTTACTTTTTATATACATAAAATTAAATACTATAAAGTCTCATATATGACATATGCAGACTGCAATTATAAAAATTACATAAAAGGCTAAACAAAAGAATATAGAGAAAGTGATGAGTTGGATATGTTAAGTAACTGAAAGGTTTTGAGTTCAATTAACTAAAATTATTCTGTTTTAACCCCTTCGCGCCGACTGTCACGTATACGTGCCAGCAACGAACACACTTACCTACCGGCCGACACACAGGCGTGCCAGAGCATTTTTGCGTTTACTACCGACTGTCACGTATTTGTGCCAGTACCCTGGAACGTTTTTCAAACTATAATTTCTGCCACAAGATGCCACTGTATGTCCATATAGTTTCAGATACATGTACATTAGACCTTCTACTCGAAATGAGAGAAGCATGACTCACATACACGTGTTTTTGATTATATAAACAAACGGGGAATTAAATGTTTCCGAATGGCGTGATTTATGACTTCTCTTTAAATTGCACTTTTATTCGCACATGGTAGTTGTTTATTGTAATTAGAAGTTTTATATGCGCTAAAGCGTTGAGTATTTCGGTTTACAGTTCAGTTTTTAGAAAATAATTAGATCTTGTTAGACGTGAATTCTTTCTGTTTTTACCGTTTCAATGTCAAAGCGTCGAAAATGTTTAACAGAACATGAAATAGCAGAAATGATGCAAAATATTTCAGATATTGATTCTGAAATTCTGATATTGATTCTGAAAGATTAACTGAAAGACATTTTCCAAAACTTTGTTCAGAAGAGACTGATAATAAAATGAGACGACGATGCTTCGTTTGTTCACATTCCCGGAAAAATCCTCCAAAACGGCAAATGAGTTATTACGAGTTCAAGGAATGTAACGTAGGACTGTGTGTAGATCCCTGTTTTCAAATTTTTCATATGAAAAAGAGAATTTTAAGTAATATATTTAGTTTTCAGATGTATAATGTTAAAAGTCATAAAATGGTGAGTAATTAAAATAAAATGTGTAAATATGCATTTGAACAAGAAATAAGGTAATTAAAGTATATATATAAAAATATCTATAAAGCATAAGCCGTGTTATATACTCTATAGAGCATATTAAACATGTTTGATACTTCGGAAATTTCATGATTAGACTAGTAGCAAAAAAGGCCCCCGGCCCTGGAGAGACGCTCGAGGAAGACACTGCCGGCCTCCGTGATAAGCGCGCGTTTTCGCTACCCGGCTCGAAGGGGTTAAACGATTTAATTTAAATACTTTATGCAAAATCCAGTTTGGGTTGATGTTATTTAGCTGTAATACATAATTTAGTTGACTTACTTAATGCCTAATTTCTCCATTCTTGATCTCAATTGTTTAAAAATCCTTTTCTGTGAAGACTGTCATTTCTGTATTTAAGATGCTGTTGTTTGCAACACTAACATATAATTGTTCTCAAAAACAATCAAAGCATTTGCTGAACATTGTGTAATACTTGAGCAAACAAAAAATGTTACCAAAGTATTTACATTTCAGTACCCCACCCATGTAAAATCTCAAAACTTTTTTTTTTTTTTTTTTTTAATACAAATTAAAGGAGGGGACAGTCACACTCTACTTTGGAGACCACTGACATAATAATTTTTCACATAATCAACTGTTATAAAAATTTTAAAATGTACACTGCTCAAAAAAAAAAAAAAAATGGGACAGTGCTATATCTCCAGTTCTACTGGGCCAATTGACAAAATTCAAACTGCGTTTTTCATGTCTCGAAAGCGCGACTTAGGATATATATTAGATTTATATATAGCACTATTCTAACATAGGTATTTTGACACAAAAAAATGGACTTTTCTGAAATAACATACCAATTTTTTTCCGTATTTCGATTCTACGGCTCAAATTATGCCAGAATACCAAGTTTTGTAAAAATCGTACGAGTAGTTTTTAAAAATTAGCTCTCAAAATTTTAGCTCCTCAATGTTATTGATTCGGCAAATATTTTATTATATCTTTTTTTATAAACTTTTTTATTTTTTCTGTCAATTTCGAAATTTAGGTTCATTCCAAATAAAATTTACCCATTTTTTGTGTTTTTTTTTTTTTTTTTTTTTTATTTCTATTTTTTAATAATTTTTATAATTTTTTCGAAAAAAATTTGAATATAACCATAAAATTTTACCATCATCATAAAGTAGGTGTATTTTTAAGCATATCTGCAAAAATGAGACTTTTTTATTCAAAATTTTCTAAGATATACACGAATTACATATTTCGCGTTTTGAAATTTGGCATCTTTTTTTTGAGCGATAATAAACGCCAAATGTGGGTCTATGGATTTGTTACACTGAATTGCACAGCTATTTTTAACCTTAAATTTCAAGTAAAATTTTACGAGAATAAATATGAAATTTTTTCCCACATAAGATGAATAAATATTTATTAATATATATGAAAATCTATTTTTAAATTATAGATGATTATTCAAATTTTAACAATTTTTTTAAATTTCCTCTTCATCCTTTTTTAAAAAAAAAGAGTACTTTTTCTAAGAGTAAATTTTACCTTCGGCATTTTATCGTCTGCTACTTTACTTCGTTAAATCGAATTGTCTAAAACTGAGAATTTTCGTTATGTTTATTTGAATTTAATGAAAATATTTTATGACATTACTGCATAATTTTATTTCTAAACAAACTGTTGCTTTGAAGGCTGAAGAGCGGCAGAGAGAGCAGATATCATCCATATTTTTAGAGCATAGTATATTTTATAGAAATATAAGATTTTGAATAATCATTTTTATAAAAGTCAAATTATGATATAACATACAACCCTGTAGAGATTGAATTAATGGAAGTTCAATGGTATGTAGAAATGATCTGCAGCTACTTAATGGTGGATAAGTCAGCAGATTTGTGGACAAGCAAGAATATTATATAAACGACACCAACTTTCGGTATTTTTGTATTAATGTCAATTAATCTGTAATAAAAATGTATTTTTGTGCGTAGATTTTCATTTAATCTTAAAATTCTAATTTAGAATGTAATTTCAAGAACTGAATCCTAATCATCAGTAATATAATAAGTATTATTATGGTTATTAATAAATCCTTCTTATAAGTAATTGCAAATATTTCAAAACTTTCTGCTGAATGCAAATATTTTCTATGCAAAATTTTTAATTTAATTAATCAGATTGCACACGATATTATGTATTTGCACTTCAATTTTTTACCGTCAGTCTAGTAGAAGTTACAAATCAATTATATTAATTAGGATTGGATTGGATTATTTAATTATGCAAAGCACACGAGGGCTATCTGCCTAAAGGGAGGGATGCCTTCGTGGAGGACTTCTAAGGAAACTGGCTCGTATACACGTTACACATGGGGAAAACCACAAAAGCCCATGCAGCCAGCCATTCGCGATTTCCAACCGAACTACAGTGCAGTCTTTACCGCTCAGCCGCTAGTGGGCTATTTAATAAGGAATGACCATCTAAATTTAGAACAGCGTACCGTAACAGCAATTCAATTATTGGCGCCGTATCTTTCATGTTACTCCTGATGGCAAGCACATGATTAAGAGTATTCGGGTTTGCTAGTAACTTCTTTGAAACGCGCTTAAACTAGGTTAGTGGGATTTGAACATAGAAAGAATGTGGGAGCTATTTGGTTAAGAGCTCATAGAGAACCTTTGAAAGAGAACCTAGAAAAATACGAAAAACCAACCATGCAAAACCTGGGTTAGACTTCGCAACAAACCGTTATATTTAACATCTTCAAATGCTAGGCCAATGGTGATGCTCCAATTAAATCTCCAATTTAATATTTTATTGTAAATATTTAAAATATGTTGTATACTTAGACATAAAAAGAGAACTACCAAGCCGTAGTGCAAATGAATATTATTTTCTTTTAATAATTGATTCACTTAATATTCTTGGATATGAGCTAAAGATGGACGTTCTCGGAAGATTAAAGAAGTGAAATCCAGTGATATAAGGTTGTCTTAGAAGCTCAGGATCAAACGATTCTGCAATTGCCCATTAGTTGACTTGTAAGACTTTTATCTTACGTTTTCAGTCAGACAACGTATTCCAAATGTGTATTACATGATAATGCATCTTTTCATTATTCAATAACCATCGGAGAACGCTTGTGTTCCGAAAATAGGTATGTGTACTCAACGTCCTGCATGTTTTTCAAATTGTCTTCTTGTGGGTTTTTTTTTCTTTCCCAAAAAAAAAGTTGCTCTCAAAGGAAGTTTTTGATATTAAAGAGACAAAGGAGTATGACATCTAATTTAGAGGCATATCAAAAACAGATCTCTAAAGCTCTCTTCCATTACATGTTGTGCAGTCAGACAAAAAATAATGGCGAAATTCTTAATCTATTTTATTACACTTGATTACTTTACTAACATACAGTGATTATACTAAATCTTACATCACTTAAGTAATTCGGATTTTTGACGGAATTGTTGTCGGAACTAGGACTTAGAAGATAGGTCATATTGAATATTTCGATAATCCATAAATCGAGGTCGAAGTTTCAATATTTTTCGGAGGGAGGGGAAGTTTTTCAGTTTTGTTCCATTACCTAGTATATTTGCTTCGTTTTATTTTTTCTAAAAGCGGAATCTACGCATGGTAACATAACGCATAGCTTCAATTAAAATTTAATAATATCAGGGTGTTTATAATTAAAGTTCCCATTGATGGTCTAAAACAAAAATACTGGATCAAATGTTATCAAAACCTGGTAATGTAAAAGAGACATAGGAATTTATTT